TGTGCCGGGACGCAACAAGGGCTGTTCTGTCTCGCCCTGCTTCTTCTACTTCTTGTTAAATCTGGACTGACTCTGCTTATAGTGAGTGTCAGTCTGCTCAAACAGATGAGGTTCTGTCTCTGGAGAACGAGGCCTCTTGTGAGCCGGAGTGAGCCCCCCCTCGGGACCAGAGGCAAGATTAGAGAGTTACAGTTTACTCTCCAGATGTGCACAACAGCAGTTAGCTGCAGTTTATGGTGATTAAAGGCAGTTAAAAGATGAAGATGAAGATCACTGACTCGCAAAATACCCCAGATTTAGTTTGACAATCTGAATATTTACTTAATTTAATTCATTTACTTAATTAAAATGTTCTTACTAGAGTCACACAATGTGTCACACAATGTGTTTGAACTACAATTTACACCAATTAAATCACCAAAAATCTCAAATCTCAATATTTGGTATAATTTTAAACATTTACTTAATATTACACACTGTTTTCCTCCTTTAATACATATAAACCAAGTGTGAACCAGAGATGGGGACTCGAGTTTGCGACTCGGACTCGAGTCACACTTAAGTCGCACACACAGAGACTTCAGACTCGACTCGGACTCGTGTTTTGGGACTCGTGAACAATCGTTATGTTTTCTTTTTTGGCGTATTAATATTGAGGAAACTCTGAAACGTCTGACGAGCTTAATGTGATTCCTTCCTTTTTTCATGGTAACCATGGTAACCACATTACGCATTGGGTGCGCGCCTCGCAGCCTCACGCTCTAGTACCTCGGATGACGACTATGGCGACCGGCGGCACACCTGCAGCTGCTGCTGTACCATTTGTGATTACATTTGGTTTTAAACACTTCAAACAGGACGGCACCAACAAAAGGAGCGCTGACTGCAAAGTCTGCAGAACCCGGATCAAAGATGCTGGATCCACCACATCGCATTTTATCAGACACCTGAAAACTCACCCGGATAGCTCAGTCAGAGCTAACTGAGGTTACTCTTTTGTTAGTAAAAAAGTCAAGATAGCCAATAACTCCAGTGATATTCCATTTTGAGTTTTACTTTTATGCAAGGAATCATTTTTGTCATAAAGGTGCCTTTTGGAACTGAACTGGTCATGTTTTAATATCACCAGTTTATAGACTTACAGTATATTTCAGATAATATGGGAGCAACAGTTTTGCTTTTTAATTGCAAATAACACAGAAGTAACATATACAAGTGTTTAAAGTACTTCTAAGTGTTTTGCTTACAAGTTGTTTGCATTTAGCTAAAGTGTGATGTTAATTACAGTGGAACAATAAAATCTGTTTCCAGAATCTGGATCCATATCTGATCAGCACTGCCTAGTTTGACAGTTTGATCTGAGTTTGGTGCGTTGAGCTGGACGGACTCACTGAGAATGAGCTGTCAATCACAAGGTATCCCCGCCCTAAAGCATACCCTGCTTTATGGTCTGTTTTACTCTAAATGGGACCATCAGTTACTAAATGAACATCATGCTGTATGGAAGAAGACTGAAACTAGAGACTGAGACCAGAAACTCATCAGGAAACTGTTTACTGAGCTCATAAATCAACTGAGAAGTCAGATCATTCTCCATGAGACTGAATGGTTTCAGTGTGTTAGCTGCCCCCTGCTGGCTGTTACATAGACTGCAGGTTTAAGACCGTTCTCTGTCCGTTACATTTACAGTCAATAATATCAATGTACTTCCCGTTTGGTTCATATTTCAGCTTCAAACAACAGCCGACTGCTGCCAACACGATGATCCACGGAGACTAATGGATTTATTTGGCTATAAAACAGAAAAACCTCAACTAATAATTAAGTCATAATTAAATTAGTAATGTGTTAATTAGTCCGTAGTCTTTCTTACATGCAATTGGGTTCAATTAATGAAACATGTGTTTCTGTATCTTCTGTATTTTCTCCTCATTCTGTCACAAAGTCGCTTTGTTCAAAATAAAAGAGCCAAAAAAAGAACAAACCGGGTTATTTTTGTCACATTTTTTTCAGTCGGATGTCTCACTGGAAACAAAAACCCTAGAAGAGATCTAAAATTAATGTCTTTTACATCTTCAAGGGAAACGACCGCAGACGAGAGATCTGAAAGAAAACTGACAGGATGTGAATGTTTGTCTCACATGCTTCATTTCTTTATTTCAAAGGGTGTTTGAATGCATTTTGTTCTTTTCTCAATGAATATGTTACTTTATATATAGTTTATATTATACGTCCTGCATTAGAGCGAACCGTCAGGGAGAGGAAAACACTTTATTTGTCAAAAAAACAAGTTTATTAATTATATTTGATTCTTAAAAAATTGAAAAATACACAATAGGGACACATAATTGTATAAAAAGTTCCTAAAATATCAGGGGACGCTAGGGGGTGCGGGGAAAGTGACCATTAACTCTGGAACAGGCCATTTAACCATCCAAATGATTTCTAAACGGGTTTATTAAGTTGAAATAGTTGCCAAATTCCCCTTTAATTACCAACAACAACAACAACAACAACAATCAGGCCTTCTGCAGAAAAACGTAAATAATATACACAGTAGGTTGATATCTCAGCATTATAGTAACTCCTGTGAGGAAAATTAATTTGATTAAATTGTTTAGATTTTTATTTAAATTTATAAACTTTAAACACCTGAACAGAAGCTTTACACACATTTACACTCTGATAAACAGCCTCATCCCAAAAATACACGAGCGTCAGGGAGAAGAAAACACTGAATCTGTCAAAAAAAGGAAACTTATTAAGTATATTCTATTCTTAAGAAATTAAAAGTTACATAATACAGACAGATAATTGTATAAAAATATAAGGAAAACTGAATAATCTGCTCAAAAGGACTCATTTTACACAAACTATTTGGGTTCATTGTATCAGTTTATCAGCGGTTCTCTACAGTTATTGTTTAATATAATATAAAATATCCATAAAATAAGTCTTAAAACTTAAAATAACTTAACGTTTACTTTTGGTTTCACATGGGACACGAGTCCCTCTTTGTGTTCAGTGCTAGTTAGTGAATGTTAGCATTCTTACACACGGTGCATCGTAAAGTCTTTTCCACCCAGTTTTTGTGCCGTTTTTAACAAAATAAACTGGTTCGAAACGCGAAAAGTTGGTTCCAACCAATAAATATCAGAGTTTCGGTGTCATTTTGAACGTGCTGTTGTGCAGCGAGCTCTATAAACGAACTGAACAGCTCAAGAACCAATAATTTGGTGGGAAAAACACCGTTTGAGTGTGTTAGCAACAGCACAGCTTTAAACTCATAGTTCCCTTCGCTCACCTCGCTGAGACTTCACACAAGCTCCACTTGAAATGTCACCCAGAAGCAACTGACGGAGTCGTTCACCGTGAGCTGTGATTGGTTGACGCCGAATAACAAAGCCTTTCTCCCACCGTGGAGGCTGTTTACTTTGGACCGCCGCCGCAGTCTCATTGTTAAAACACTGTATCCCACTCAGGCTTTGATGGCCTTTATTTCCGCACCAGCTGCCTGTAATAATCCTCTAAAAGGAATATAATCAATCCTCCTTAAATCCACTTTTAAAGGTTGTCTGCCTGTTCGTGTCCGGACACTAATCACCTCGGTCTGCAGCCGTTAAACCCTCCACGACGTGCCGATGGGAATATTCAGCTTATGAATGTGGACGAGATCTCAGGGGTGACATAAATAACCCTGAAGCTCCGTGTTTGTTCTGTTAATAGGAAGGTTGAGCTTTATTAAATTAGGTTGCTTTAGGAGCTGCAGTACGATGCATTGATGATATGGAAACATGGGTTCATTGTTTTGGGTTCATTGTTTTATTTCTGTACTTGTATTGTTATACATTAAATATAGTATTAAATATGTGACTTTGTCAGGTTACTTTGATATAAAAGGGGTCAATTAAGGTAAAAAGAGGTCTGGAATCACTCGTTTAAAGGACCGGTGTTTAGGATTTAGTGTTGCGGTGAAGTTGTAGACTAACTGAACACCTCTCGCGTCTGTATTTGACATAAACGTGCTGTTTAAACTGTTTCGAACTGGAGCTTTAAGAAGTTTATTTATAAAACATTTGTTGATTCCAGGTTTCATTTTATATTAATTTTATATTAATATCTTCGTCTTAATGCCTTTGATGTTTTATATAAAGCACTTTGAATTATCTTCACTGTAAAACAGTTTAAACAACTTAAGCACAAAAAAATATTTGATTTGAGTGAAAGTAACTAATTTATTAAGGTAAATTAAGTTAATTGTACTTAAAACTAGTATTTTACAGTCATGTACAGAATTTCTACAAACTTATTTAAAATGTGTGAACAGAATTTATCTGAATAAAGTTACTTTAATGGATATTTTTTATACAAATGTTTCCACTTAAATTGAATTTACCTGTCAAAGCAGCTGACGTACGAAAAAACAATTTACAATTAATTGATTATTAAAATATTGCACAAATTTAATGCATTCAAAACAACTTTTTGAGTTGAGTTTAATTTGTGGGAATGTTTGCAGGATTCATTTATGTTAACTTACTTTTTTTGATGAAGATAAGTTGTTAGGATTTACAGTGTAAAGTGTAAGTGACTCATTTATTAAGGTAAATTAAGTTAATTGTACTTAAAACCACTAAATATATATCACTCATATGCAGAATCTGTTCTGTGTGTGTTCACAGAATTTAATTATTTTACTATAAAGTAACTTAAATGCATCTTTTTTTATTAATTTTGAGTTGAGTTTAACTTATGTTACTTTACCTCTTTTATTAGATATGTTGTTTAGATTTACATTTACACAAATAAACTTGTTCGTGTGTATTTATCTGCGGATCCTGGTTGTTTTATGGGTGTTTTTTCTTTATAATCTCTATTTTATTACAGTTATTTGTTGTTATTGTTTTGTCTTCCTCTGTGGTGTCTATATATAACCTCCCCATCTATCCGTCTCCACGATGAGCAGCAGGTTGCTGTAACTCTACCACTGCATGCCCATGTAAAGGAAGGAGGCTGCACACCGAGGACGATGCTGAGGTATAAAAAGGGACAGTGCAACCGAGAGCTCCACAATCCTGTTCGGCGTGTGGATTTCTTGTTTGTTTCTCTTTCTTTGGTTGATGCAGTGAGTGGGTGAGTTGATCTCAAACGTTATTTTTTACATAAAATTCAAGAAAAACAAACAAAACAAAAACATGCAGATTTCTTCTTGATTCAGGAGGAGAGAATGAGCACAGATGGAGAAATGTCAATCTTCGGGCCGGCCGCCCAGTTCCTCCGCAAGTCTGAGAGGGAGCGGACGGAGGCCCAGTCCCGCCCGTTCGACGGCAAGACGGCGTGCTTCGCCAGCGACGAGAAAGAGCTGTATGTCAAGGCTGAGATCCAGGACAGGGCGGACGGCAGAGTCACTGTGAAGACCGTGGATGACAGAGTGGGTGGACTGAAGTAGCTTTTTAATGAGACACTGAGCACAGACAGTGAATATTCCTGTTATAGGGTGTCTGTCTGTTGAAAACCTGCAATAAAGAATCTGTTTTATGAGTCTGGCCTTCAACATTTAGTCTCCCCCCCGAAGCCACAAGAGTCATATTTTTGTTCCTGACTTTAAACTTGCTGTTTCCAGACTTTGACTGTCAGGGAGGACCAAGTGTTTCCCATGAACCCGCCCAAGTTCGATAAGATTGAGGACATGGTGATGATGACGCACCTCCACGAGCCCGCGGTGCTGTTCAACCTGAAGGAGCGGTACGCGGCGTGGATGATCTACGTAAGTCTTCCACTGAATGGAGGCGGGGGGGTGCTAATGGGACAGTTTGGATTAAAACAGGGAGAAACTTTAATTAATAAGTTAAATTATGTGAAAAAACTGAGATTATTCAGATTATTATTAACTCACCATTCAATTACAGACCAGCAGTGTGAGACAATAAAATAATGTTATTACTTTACTAATTACTCCCTGCTGACATGAATTAGTTACACTACTAGTTATATTACTTTTCTGTTACTTTCTTCCAAAAATTAAGACTTAATGACGATTAACATTCAGTTTTGTTTGTTATAATCAAAGTATTGGTAACGACACGATTACAAAATGAATCCAAGTATCTGATTGGATTTTTGGATTTCAACAAACTGTATTATTACTGACATTAATTAGCAATTAGTTACATTACAAGTTACTGGGGATGTAATATTATTACTGTTAATGTCCAACACGCAGATCAATGGTAGAAATGTGACAATAAGAGCTAATCTATAATTTGGCTAAAAAGAAAACAATATATATATAAAAAATATTGAAGATTTAAGAATAAAGATTAAAATCAGTTTGTACTGAATATTATTTTTACTGCAGTTTTAACTTCCCTGAAGTTTAACCTGCTGCAGATAAATTAAAATACATTTAAAATTTTCTTTAAAAATACATTATTGATGCTAAAAATATTATTTTCTCTTGTTTTTATTTGCGTATTTTGTGTTAAAAGCTAAGCTAATACGTTGTTTTGTCAGTTAGGTGAACTCATATCTGAGTTTTATTCAGTAAAGTAACACTGAGCTAAACACAGAACATCTTATTGCTTTTTATAAAGTTGATGTGATTATTTTATCTTTTTATATATTACTTATTGATCCCCCGGCTGCAGCACAGTGGATGTAGTGCAAAGAGTAAAGAAAAAGAGATTAAAACATAATAAAATATAAAATATATACATTAAAGTAGAATATAACTGAGGCTAACAAGGCTAAATAAATGTTTTCTTTTCCCTGCAGACGTACTCTGGGCTGTTCTGTGTGACTGTGAATCCTTACAAATGGCTCCCGGTGTACAACCCGGAGGTGGTCCGGGCTTACAGAGGGAAGAAGAGGATGGAGGTTCCCCCTCACATCTTCGCCCTGTCCGATAACGCCTACCAGTTCATGCTCACCGGTACGTCAGCAGCACAAAATCAACACAACTGAATGATCTCACGTCTTTTATTTCACCGTGTGTGTGTTTTCTTTTACATCCTCAGATCGTGAAAATCAGTCTATTCTCATCACGTAAGTTTATCTGAGGTGTTTGTTTGTATATTCACAAACTACTGACATTAAAAACCCGGAAATAATTCACATTTTCTTCCTCTTTTGTTATTATAAGTGGAGAATCCGGTGCTGGAAAGACTGTCAACACTAAACGTGTCATCCAGTATTTTGCGACAATCGCGGTGTCTGCAGACAAGAAGAAGGAGGTGAACAGTAAGATGAAGGTGAGTCCAGGACAACTTTTGCCGGTAGAGTCCGTCAGAGAAAGAGCGGGAGTCAGATTTATGTGTTTTGCCTTTTTTAGGGAACTCTGGAGGATCAAATCATCCAGGCGAACCCTCTGCTGGAAGCTTTCGGGAACGCCAAGACGATGAGGAACGACAACTCGTCTCGCTTTGTGAGTCATTTTATTATCCCAGACGGGAAGAAATCACCTTCTCACCAACCTTAAAAATGTAGTTCAGGTGGTTTTTATCCTTCATGATCAGGTTTCTGTACAAAGCAATATAGAAAAAGTGAGAATAGATTCAATAAATAACTTAAATAATAAAATAAGGTTATAATTTTCCTCTTTAAAAAACATTTAATGTCCTAAGGAATTTTTAAAGTTGACATATAAACATTATAAATGACTGATCTAACTGGTTTTGTTAAACAGGGCAAATTCATTCGGATACACTTTGGCACAACTGGTAAACTGTCGTCTGCAGACATCGAAACGTGTAAGTTTCTACAAACTCTGTGTAGAATATTTGATGCATTACGTTGCTGTAAAAGTGTGTTAAATGTTTTATGTCTTTTCCTCTTTTAAAAGACCTGCTAGAGAAGTCGAGAGTGACCTTCCAGCTGGCGGCGGAGAGGAGTTATCACATTTTCTATCAGCTTACTTGCAACAAGAAGCCTGAACTGATCGGTAATCTGATTAATTCTTCTGTTTCTTTCACACAGACGTTCATACAGAGAGAGATTTTAGCTTGATTTCTTTCCCTTCAGATCTGCTTCTCATCACCACCAACCCCTACGACTTCGCCTTCATCAGTCAGGGCGAAATCAGCGTCAAAAGCATCAACGACGCCGAGGAGCTGATGGCCACAGACGTGAGTGGACTCGCACACTGACGCTCGCTCCATCTCTGAATCTCAGTCTGATTTTGAGCATTTTGTGACACAGGAGGCCTTGGATATTCTGGGCTTCACCGCGGAGGAGAAAACGTCCATCTACAAGCTGACCGGAGCTGTGATGCATTATGGGAACATGAAGTTCAAGCAGAAGCAGCGGGAGGAGCAGGCGGAGCCAGATGGCACAGAGGGTGAGGATCATCCATCCAAATTAATACTGTCGTACGAGCAAATGGAAGCAGACTGATGAGGAAAAATAAAAGTTGTGGTTGAGATTTGTTTGTTTTTGTTTGTAGAAGCTGATAAAGCGGCGTATCTGATGGGCCTGAACTCTGCTGATCTGCTGAAAAGTCTCTGTTATCCCAGAGTGAAGGTTGGAAATGAGTACGTTACCAAAGGACAGAATGTGCAACAGGTAAGACGTCTACTTCTGGATATATGTATATATACAAAGCCACCGTCCGTAACGAGGTTATCTCTCAATAATATACAGTTTACAGCAGTGGTGCCCAACCAGAGGGTCGAGAACCCCCACTAGGGGTCGCCAAAGCTTGATGCGGGGTTGCGAGGCCTTCTTGATTGAAGAGGTGTAAGAAAATATACACAGTAGGGCTAAATCTCAACATTATATTCATTCCTGTGAGGATTTTTTAAAATTAATTTGATTAAATTGTTATTTTGGATGTTTAAATTGATTGAGAACTCTGAACACAAGCTTTTACAGAAGCCTTCACAGCCACGTCCAAAGGTACACAAGTACGGCAAGGGAGAAGAAAGAAGACTATTAAGTTTATTTTATTGTAAAAAAAATATTAAAGCTCGGTCGCATAATTGTTAAAAAGGTTGGAAATAACCAACATTTAAAATTCAATCAGACATCATTCATCATCCAAAAACAGCCCCTAGAAACAAGACAAATATTCTTAAATATATTCAATTTCTTTTTGTATTGAACAAAAATAATCTGCCAAACTAGCATAAAAATCTAACCACTGACAGACTGTAACAGACCTTAAAACTATTTAAAAAAAAAAAGCCAAAATCTAAGTAAGTTGTGTTTATTACAAGCAATGAAAAGTCTGAAGTGATTTAAGATTGTTAAAATAAGTATTTTGGTGACTTTATTGATCAGAATTTAAGAATTTGTACCTTTTAATTTAAGATTAATAATCAGCAATCTGACAATAAGACACAATTTCTTCAGACATGATAAAAATCTGTGACTTTGTGTTAAATGAAAGAACCAGAAACATTCCTATTTTTTTTATTAAAACAATAAAAACTAAACAGCTGCTTCATTTCCAACACTGGGACCAGACGACTTTCTGTTAAACTGAGAAGTTGTTCGAGTGGTTTTACTCTTAAAATAATGATAATAATCTTGTTCCTCTGCTGGGATATTATGCAACCATTGTTGTTACTGGTTAAATCGAGTTCAATATTAGCTGTAATATCTTATTAAGACAAAGTTAGACATATTTTTTCTTGAAACCAGATTATTTTTCTAAAGCAAAAACATCCTTAGCAAGATTATTTTTCTATTTGGACAAAAAAAGACTAATTTCCCAGAAACAGGGCTTTTTTTTTTTAACGCTTAGTTGCACTTTAACTTTCCCTCTCTCCAGGTGTACAACTCCATCGGCGCTCTCGCAAAGTCCGTCTACGAGAAGATGTTTCTGTGGATGGTCGTACGAATCAACCAGCAGCTGGATACAAAACAACCCAGACAACATTTCATTGGCGTTCTCGATATTGCTGGATTCGAGATCTTTGATGTGGGTGTTTAAAATATATATATATATATTATTTTATGTAAGTTATGATGTGTCTTTATTCAAATACCTGTTTTTACTGTGTTGTCTGTAGTACAACAGCATGGAGCAACTCTGCATCAACTTCACCAACGAGAAGCTGCAACAGTTTTTCAACCACCACATGTTTGTGTTGGAGCAAGAAGAATACAAGAAAGAGGGGATTGAGTGGGAGTTCATTGACTTTGGGATGGATTTGGCGGCCTGCATTGAGCTTATTGAAAAGGTACTGTCATTTAAAACACTAGTTTGGATGAAAGGAAGTGTTTAAACAGTGATTTTTAATAAGAACATTTGTTTCCCAGCCAATGGGGATCTTCTCCATCCTCGAGGAAGAGTGCATGTTCCCAAAATCAACCGACGCCTCTTTCAAGAACAAACTCTACGACCAACATCTCGGGAAGAACAACTGCTTCTTGAAGCCCAAAACGGTCAAAGGCAAACCCGAGGCTCACTTCACTCTGATGCACTACGCTGGCACTGTGGACTACAACATCAGCGGCTGGCTGGAGAAGAACAAAGACCCTCTGAGCGAGTCTGTGGTGCAGCTCTACCAGAAGTCTTCGGTAAAGATACTGGCCATGTTGTATGCAAGCTTTTCTGGATCCGACGGTGAGTTTTTGGGGCTTTTATTGAATATTTTGGGGCTGTTATTATTCCACAATTAGTTGCATTGTTGGCAGCTGTATATGCTCAAAAACTCATGAAATGTAGCACAACAGTTGGGTGGCGGCACAAAATGTACGTATTCTACGGGTCTCGCACATGAGCGTCAAAGTCACTTAAGGAGCAGCCCCTGAGCCATGTTTCACCTGTAAGTATGAAAATGGGTACAGACGTGTATCAAGACTGGACGTAAAAAAAAGCCTCAAGGACCCATATCGCAAACACAACAGGAAGTCGGCCATTTGGAATTTTAGTCATTTTTAGTGGTCATTTTTGGCGATTTGCGTACGTTTTAATGGACTTCTATTATAACTGATTGGATCGGATTAAAATTTGGTCAGTGCTATCTGACCATACGTCGAACGGCGTTCTCTTGGCTTGGCGTTGAATTACGCCGTTTTGCCATGAAACAGGAAGTTCTCATAACTTCAGTGTAGTTTGTCCAATTTCCATCAAACTTCACACGTCTAATAAGAGTCCTGAACACTTCTACATGCCAATATTCAGTCATACTCAAAGCATCTGTAGTTATAATTACCATATTATCATTAATGTTTTTTTAGTTGTTCTGTGTAATTGTAATAAATATAAAGTAAATCTATGCACAGAGTTGGTTTGCAGAAGGATGGTTGGTACAGTTGTGATTAATATTTATGGATTCATATGGAGAAATATTGTATAAAAGTGATAATTATCTATAAAAGTGAGATACGACTGTTACTGTATGTTGGTTTTAAATGCGTCATTAATGCAGAAGCAGCTGCAGGAGGAACTAAAAAAGGATCCAAGAAGAAGGGAGCATCTTTCCAAACTGTGTCAGCGCTGTTCAGGGTAAGATGCTAACAGAAGCGACAGAAGAACTTTTAGGAAATATAGAATGAGGTCTGAAACCTTTAAACACTCTTATATTCTAACTAAAAAGTCTGTCCATGCTAGTACTTTTTACAAGGTATTTTGTTTTCACAGTACAAATAAAAATTACAAAATTAAGTCAGTGTCACTTCAAATCACTAAAATTACCACAGGTTTTTTTAACTTACAAAATTGAGTCAGTTTTACTTAAAATGTTCAATGTAATAAGTTTCAACCATGTTTTGAGTTAAATTAACTTATTTGGTTTTACAGTGGGGTACCTTATAGGAAAAGGTTGGGAAAAACTGAACTAAACTGAAACTAAAATCATAATCTGAGAAGAACAAACATTTTGAATAGAAGAGAAGAACTCATAAAGTTTCATATATGAATTCTCTGGATGTTTCTTGTTGCTTTTCTGTCAAAAAGTAAAGAAGAAACAAGAACTCACGTGTACATTTTACTTCCAGGAGAATCTCGGGAAGCTCATGACGAACCTGAGAACGACTCATCCTCACTTTGTCCGCTGTTTGATACCAAATGAGACCAAAACACCAGGTAGTTAATCTTTTGATTCCCACATCTTCATTACAAACATATTATAAAACATAAAACTCCAGTGGATAAGATAACGATACTGTCACATTTTTGCATTTTAAAAATACATTTATAAGCTGTAGAAAGGCTGAGATATATGTTTATTTTTCCAGTAAAGTTCATTAAAAAACTTTAAAAACACACTTTGGATTTCATAGAACATAAAGACAATCAATCGTTTTTATAAGAATTGTCGGCTGTTATTTAATTATTCAGACAATTTAGAATAATCTACATTTCTGTCCTGATATATAAAACTTTCGCCTTCAGGTGCGATGGAGAACCACCTGGTTATCCACCAACTGCGCTGCAACGGCGTGCTGGAGGGGATCCGGATCTGCAGGAAGGGATTTCCTAGCAGAATCCTCTACGGGGACTTCAAGCAGAGGCAAATAAAGCTTTACCTTTTCAAATATTTTATCATGTTTTTCACCCCATAAAACTCAGACCTGTTATTCCTCCTGCAGATACAGGATCCTCAATCCCAGCGCGGTTCCGGAGGGACAATTTATGGACAACAAGAAAGCTGCAGAGAAACTTCTGGGCTCCATCGATGTGGATCAGACTCAGTGCAAGTTTGGACACACTAAGGTTTTTTAATTTGTTCCCACACGCTGGTTGAGTGGTTGAGATGTTCAGAGCTGCACAAACAGATAATTACCTTTAATTCCAGGTGTTTTTTAAAGCTGGTCTGCTGGGCGCTTTGGAGGAGATGCGAGATGAGCGGTTAGCTCACGTTGTGGCGTCCACTCAAGCTTTGTGCCGCGCCTACCTCGTTCGCTTGGAGTACCAGAGGATGATGGCCAGGAAGTAAATATATTCACTGCTTTAAAGCTGCGACTTCACATGTTAGCATCTAGAAACATTCAGTGCACACAGACCGCATTCCCCCGACTGAAACCCATTGTGAGCATCAACCAAACTCTGTAAGAGAGTCTGCAGCTGCAGCAACTGAATAAATCTGAGTGAGCATTGTTAACTCCAGCGACGCTCACGCACTGCTGACTCACAGCTACATAAATCATTATATATGTTGATGGTTTGAACTTGCACATCACATAAGCACGCTAATATTTGCTAATTAGTAACATCATCAGGTCAAAACTACTTTATCCATGATTAGTTGATTTTTGTTTATTATTGGATGGATGGATGATTTCCATGACAAATGGTGTCAGATATTCATGTTTCATCCTGGATGAACTTTAATAACTTTTCATTTAGGTAAAAATTGGCCAGTATGTTGGTTTGTTTAATGCTAACTAACCACCAGCATGTTAGCATTTAAAGCACAGCTGCATCTACAGACTCGTCTGTTTTCTCGATTGTATCAAACTTTATCTCATTACACTATGATCTGACGCCTGATTTGTAATTTTTGTGGACTATACTACACTATACTTTTGTTTTTGCCTGAAACAGTTAAATGTAGGTTTAATACGTGTAATTATGGAGTTTAAACTCATTTTCGTGTCATTAAATAAACGTTGTGATGACCTTTAGAAATCTAAAACACAGACCTGTGGTTTGATATGTGTAAAAAAAAAAGGCTGAAACTTGCAGATTAAACTCATCCATGTTTTACTTTGACAGGGAGGCAATCTACACCATCCAGTATAACTTCCGCTCTTTCATGAACGTGAAACACTGGCCGTGGATGAAGCTGTATTTTAAGCTCAAACCTCTCCTGAAGAGCGCTGAGGCGGAGAAGGAAATGGCTCAAATGAAGGTGGATTTCACGAAGCTCAAAGAAGATCTGTCCAAGTCAGAGAATCGGCGGAGGGAACTCGAGGAGAAGATGGTCTCCATCGTACAAGAGAAGAACGACCTCCTCCTCCAGGTCCAGACAGTAAGTCACACCTCAGACTGAGCGACGGTCACATCGTCGGCTTGATTGTTACCATCACTCACTTAACTGTTTTCACAAACTCGATACCAGGAGGCCGACAACCTGCAGGATGCCGAGGAGAGATGTGAAGGCCTCATCAAAAGCAAGATCCAGATGGAAGCCAAGCTGAAGGAGGTGACAGAGAGACTGGAAGACGAGGAGGAGGTCAACGCCGAGCTGACCGCCAAGAAGAGGAAGCTCGAGGACGAGTGCTCTGAACTGAAGAGGGACATCGACGACTTGGAGCTCACCTTAGCCAAAGTGGAGAAGGAGAAACATGCTGTAGAAAACAAGGTAGTATCATGTTCATCATGAGGCTGTAGCGTCACGTTTAAAGGCTCCACATGCTGCAGAACACCGCTGTTAATAGTGACACCAACAAGCTAGCTGGATTAGCCCTGGGAGTCTGGATGAAGCTAGCGGACAGTATTTTGCTACATTAGCTAGCTAGCTAGCAATTTGTCCACATTAGCAAACAAGCTAAAATCTGGAGGTTAAGAATATAACCAGTGTTCTCTGAGAGAGGGAAACCAAGTTTGAGACCAAGGCGCGATCCCTCAACCTATGTGTTGTACTTATTGTACTGACCGAAAGGGAACATAAGGTCAATAAAAAGTGATTAATAAATAAAAATGTAACATAAAATGGTTCAGAATCTGAGACATTGGAGCCTTTTAGGAGGAGTTGTCACATCAGTTCTCAATAATGATTTCAGGTGAAAAACCTGACTGAAGAAATCATGAGCCAAGATGAAAATATCGCCAAACTGTCGAAGGAGAAGAAATCCCTGCAGGAAGCTCACCAGCAGACGCTGGACGACCTGCAGTCGGAGGAGGACAAAATAAACACGCTGACCAAAGCCAAAACCAAACTGGAGCAGCAGGTCGATGAGGTGAGTGTCTGTACTCACAGGAAAGCTGAGGAGGTAGAAATTTAACGCACTGCTGCTGTTAAGATGTAAATGTGTGACTTTAGCTGGAAGCTTCTCTGGAACAAGAGAAGAAGGTCCGTATGGATCTGGAGAGAGCCAAGAGGAAGCTGGAGGGGGATCTGAAACTCGCTCAGGAGTCCATAATGGATCTGGAGAACGAGAAACAGCAGCTGGATGAAAAGCTGAAAAAGTGAGTGGTGTGAAAAAGATGGTGATTCATCTGCATATAATCACATAGTTGCTGTGGTTTCCACGCAGTTGCATCTGCTTGTTGCACCAGTATTTCCTATTTAATGTTGTATTGTTACATATTTCAGCTTTAAAGGTGAAACATTTATATTTTTATATGAACAATGGAAGCTAAGAAAATGCCAAAAAAGAATCAAAAAGTGGCAGTAATGACGAACCCGCAGAGATAATTATCACCCGAGTCTGCAGCTCAGCTCTCTGGAGAGTTTTAGTGTCTTTCAGCTCATTGTTTTGGTTTTATGACCCTCAACTTCACTGTTTTCTGGTTCAGTCTCACAGCTCTCATGAACCACGTTTTCAGGCAGATAGAGACAGATATTTTCCTCAGGAGTTTGTCCAAAAGTTAGAGACCAAAAACAGAGCTAAAAGAGACCAACCGGACAGAAAATGACTTTAAAAGAATGATAATGTTGCTCCGTGTTTGAAAACTGTTTGCTAACATAATGTATAGAGTGATAAGTCAGTTACAGCTTGCTTTTGGAAAGAAACCACCTGTGGGAAATTATAACTGCGTTCAGTCTCTCTATTTGCAGTGTTTTGGTTTATCAGTTCTCACCTGTCTGTGGGCTTTAAAATGACCAACGTTAGTAAAAGTTCTGCGTCACGCTTTGCTAACTGGTGCATTTTCTGATTTTGTGATGGATTGAAATTAACAGCGAGCTTCACTCTGCAGGAAAGACTTTGAGTCGTCACAGCTGCAGACAAAGATAGAAGATGAACAAGCTCTCGGTGCTCAGCTGCAGAAGAAAATAAAAGAGCTCCAGGTGACGAATTCAATCGCCGGCTCGGGTTTGAGGTGATATCACAGCCGACTTCAGTTGAGGTATTCTTCCAGGATCACATCATTTCACCCTCTTATCTGCAGGCCCGGAGCGAGGAGCTGGAGGAGGAAATCGAGGCCGAGCGCTCGGCTCGAGCCAAAGTGGAGAAGCAGAGGTCTGATCTGTCCCGGGAGCTGGAGGAGATCACGGAGAGGCTGGAGGAGGCCGGAGGAGCCACCGCCGCTCAGGCTGAGCTCAACAAGAAGCGCGAGGCAGAGTTCCTCAAACTACGCAGGGACCTGGAGGAGTGTTCGCTGCAGCACGAGGCCACGTCGGCTGCCCTGCGCAAGAAACACGCAGACAGTGTGGCCGAACTGGGAGAGCAGCTGGATAACGTCCAGAGGGTCCGGCAGAAACTGGAGAAGGAGAAGAGCGAGTTACGGCTGGAGATGGACGACCTGGCGAGCAATATGGAAACCATGGCCAAAGCAAAGGTTGGTTATCAAATACATTTTTATTGATCAGTTCCATGTAGAGATATAACAAGCACATCTTTTCTTTTTAAAATTTCAAGATTAATTTAGAGAAAATGTGCCGTTCGCTCGAAGATCAACTGAACGAGGTGAAAACCAAAGAGGAGGAGCATCAGAGGCTAATAAACGACCTTTCAAGCCAGAAAGCTCGACTGCAGACAGAAAACAGTGAGGAATATTTGATCATATCTGAGCAATGAAGCCAGCGGTTGCATACTTTCACAGACGAGGCAGCTCTAATGTGTTTTACACTCATCGTGCAGGTGAAATGTCTCGCCGGCTTGAAGAAAAAGAGTCCTTAATGTCACAGCTGACTCGGGGAAAACAGGCCTTTCTCCAGCAGATTGAGGAGCTGAAAAGACTTCACGAGGAGGAGGTTAAGGTAACGTCTGACCGAAGAGACGAGCACGATGCACTGTTTTAAAGTTTGAAGGAGTGTTTATGCAACGCAACTGTAATTTCCTCAAAGGCAAAAAACGCCCTGGCTCACGGTTTGCAGTCGGCTCGCCACGACTGCGAGCTGCTCAGAGAGCAATACGAGGAGGAACAGGAGGCCAAAGCCGAGCTGCACCGCTGCCTGTCCAAGACCAACAGCGAGGTGGCTCAGTGGAGAACTAAATACGAGACCGACGCCATTCAGCGCACCGAAGAGCTCGAGGAGGCAAAGTAAGGAAAATCTCCACGCCGGTTCAAAACAAGATAATCTCCTGAGATCTTACGATGTCTGTTCTCCCCCTGCAGGAAGAAGCTGGCGCTGCGTCTGCAGGATGCAGAAGAAGCTGTGGAGGCCGTTAACTCCAAGTGTTCCTCTCTTGAGAAGACAAAACAGCGGTTGCAGGGAGAGGTGGAGGACTTGATGATGGATGTCGAGAGGTCAAATGCTGCTGCTGCGGCCTTGGACAAGAAGCAGAGAAACTTTGATAAGGTTTTGATCTCGAGTCTTTCTGCAATGTCATGTAGATGCACACAAGTTTACCGTAATTCTAACTTAAATTTCAACTTTTAACACTTTCCATGTAGTTACAGAGTATTTATTTGTGTCTATTTCAACCTTGTTGTACCGTATATGTTTTGCGTTTGAAACCTATTACCTGAGTTTGTATTCTTTTGTAGCTGTCTTGGTCTTAGAAAGTCAATTAATCATTCAATTAAACTCTATTTGTGTAGCACCTTTCATACAGTTTAGGGCAGTACAAAGTGCTTCACAGATGACTGACAAGACAACAATAAGACAGAGTGGAATAAAAAATAAGATAAAAATGACAATGAAATAGACTTAACAGTAGCAATAACTTAGTTACTTTTAATGAAATCGATACTAGAAACCAGATTTAAAAAAAGACGCAAAAGTAACAGTAAAGTAAGGATAAAGGTATTAACAATAAAATAAATTAGCAATGCAAATTTTACTTATGATAAAATAAGGTAAATAACATCTAAAAACATTCTTAGTTAAAAGCCAGGCCGAATAAGGTAGGTTTTGAGTTTATGTTTAAAGATTTCAACACTTCCAGCTGCTCTCAGATCCTCCGAAATCTTTTCTGTTGGACATAAACTCACATTTACATGTTTAACCAGATTTATTTCATAACAATAGTTTGTTTTAAACATTCAGCTGTAATATGTCTTCCTGTAGGTTTTGTCTGAGTGGAAGCAGAAACACGAGGAAGGTCAGGCAGAGCTGGAGTCGGCCATAAAAGAAGTTCGTGGTTTGGGCACCGAGAACTTCAAGATGAAGAACGCCTTTGAAGAAACCCTGGAACAACTGGAGACCCTCAAACGGGAAAATAAAAACCTGCAACGTATGTCGCTCCTTTGCATCTAATGCATAGTTAATGTCTTTAATACAGAGAAATAATGCAACATATCTTCCTTTCCCAGAGGAAATAATGGATCTGACTGAGCAGTTGGGAGAGACGGGAAAAACCATCCACGAGCTGGAAAAATCAAAGAAACAGGCTGAGCAGGAGAAGCTGGAGGCCCAGACCGCTCTGGAGGAGGCAGAGGTCAGCAGGAGATGAATCTAAATGACGTATATTTAAACATCTGGTACAATATTTACAGCATTTCACATCTGAACTCTTTTTAAAGAGTTCGGTCTAGACCTACTCTATTTGAAAAGTGTCCTGAGATAACTTCTGTTATGAATTGGCGCTATACAAATAAAATTGAATTGAATTGAATTGAACTCAGGCCTCCGTGGAGCACGAGGAGTCCAAGATCCTGCGAGTCCAGCTGGAGCTGAACCAGCTGAAGTCTGAGGTTGACAAGAAGATAGCGGAGAAAGACGAAGAGATCGAACAGCTGAAGAGGAACAGCCAACGAACCATCGACACCATGCAGAGTAACCTGGACGCTGAGGTCCGGAGCAGGAACGACGCCCTGAGAGTGAAGAAGAAGATGGAGGGGGACCTGAACGAGATGGAGATCCAGCTGAGCCACGCTAACAGGCAGGCGGCCGAGTCCCAGAAACAGCTGAGGAACATTCAAGTCCAGCTGAAGGTGAGCGGCGTTAACATAAACCCTGCAAAGACTTAATGCTTAATGTTAACATCCTGTTCTCTTCCTGGACCAGGAGGTTCAGATTCACCTGGACGAAGCGCTGAGAAACAGCGAGGACCTGAAGGAGCAGGTCGCCCTGACGGAGCGCAGGAGCAACCTCATGCAGGCAGAGATGGAGGAGATCAGAGCGGCTCTGGAGCAAACTGAGAGGAGCCGCAAGCTAGCAGAGCAGGAACTGCTGGACGCCAGCGAGAGAGTGCAGCTGCTTCACTCACAGGTGCAAATCTTTCAGATAATCAATGATTAAAAGTGGCTGTAATCAATATTTTTGCTTCCTGGCTTAGCACCAAACAGCAGGTAGCCACAGTTAGAGACTAGCTGGTGAACATAGTGGAGCTTTTAGTCAGTAGAGACTGAAAACAGAGCTGAAAGAGACAGAATATTGGACAGAAACAGGACGGCAACTGATTGATAACGTTGCTTGTATCTGCTGCCCCCAAGTGGCCAAAAAAAATCAGTTATTGCAGATTTAAGGGAGTAAACATCCAGATGTCACACAGTGTGCACCTTTTAGATAATACTGAAACTACAGGGTTACAGTTAAAACATCTAAAATCCAATCATCTGAATTTTAGGCCTTTCAATGTCTTAAAAGTTGATTGGATTATTGACATTAATAAGTTGCATTTTTCAATCCTGCTTTTAAATTTGTTTTTGGAAAATGTTTTTATTTATTATCCTGATTTTTCCTTGACATATTTCCTACTTTGCCAGTATGGACTTGAAGTCTTAAAAAACCTGCAGAAACCCTGAATTAGCTTCATCTCCAAACCCCCCAAACTCTTGTTAGGAGAAACATAAATAATGATTCCTCAGGTAGAACAGGACAGTGAATCATCTGTTGTATTATAGAAAACAACATTTGATTCACTCTGAGTTCATATTTTAGAATTACGTTGTCGTCTCTTACAGAATACCAGCCTGCTCAACAGTCGGAAGAAGCTGGAGGCCGATCTTTCTCACATTCAGGGCGAGATGGACGACAGCGTTCAGGCAGCCAGGAACGCCGAAGAGAAAGCCAAGAAGGCCATCACGGATGTAAGCGTCTGGATTTCCTTCTGCTTCACTCTCACCTGCCCGGACAGCACAGTCCAATCACAGCTTTATTTACACTTTGTTTCAGGCCGCCATGATGGCGGAGGAGCTGAAGAAAGAGCAGGACACCAGCGCTCACCTGGAGAGGATGAAGAAGAACCTGGAGGTGACGGTGAAAGACCTGCAGCAGCGTCTGGATGAGGCCGAGAACCTGGCCATGAAGGGCGGGAAGAAGCAGCTCCAAAAACTGGAAGCAAGGGTAACGGATTATTTAAATTTAATCTGCTTTATTCAACCATTTGTTTCCAGGAAATAGGCATCTATGTGAGGAATATATCTGCTGTTTTGCAGGTGCGAGAGCTGGAGAACGAGCTGGAAGCGGAACAAAGACATGGGTCAGATTCTGTGAAAGGGGTTCGCAAACTGGAGCGCAAGATTAAGGAGATCACCTATCAGGTAAAGTCAAACAATATGTGAAGTAAAAGTCGGTAACATTTAGTTAAAGGTTATATATATGAAATTTAGTTGACAGTGGAGGACCAGCATCTCAGGGCAAAATAATTCTACTGAAATAAACTAATAAAAACTGTATTTGTTAGTCTTTTAAATAATCACCAACTCTCTAAAAAGTTAATTTTTCATGAGCTCAGAAAAACAGTTTTCAGTTTTGTGACGATTCATTTCCCAGCTGATCCAAGAGAGGTTTTAAAAAGTTAATTTAGCTTCAACAGGGCTGCACGATAGAGTAAAAACATCATATTGTTTATGATTATTAGTGGGAATTATCATCTTTGCATCATAAATTAAAATTTCACTTAAAAAACTATAAAAATTATGATGATGTGACATTTGTTGGAGTCTGTACTAAACAAACATACCTTAACTCTCTCTACAGCTCCCCAGTACTTCATTATACTTTAATATTATATTATATATATTAATTCAAATGCTGTTGGTCACATTTTAGCTTTATCAAACAGTTGTAGCTTCCTACGATTTGCATATAGCACATACATTTCGATAATATTGTGTAATCTGAAAAGTAACTAAAGCTATCAGACATAATGTAGTGGAGTTAAAAGTTCAATATTGACCTCTGAAGTGTAGTTTAAGACGTATAAAGTTGTTAATTATCGGTTTTTAGTCTGACGAGGACAAGAAAAACATGACGCGGCTGCAGGAGCTGGTGGACAAACTGCAGCTGAAGGTCAAAGTGTACAAACGACAGGCTGAAGAGGCTGTGAGTGACATTGTTTAACACGTTCATTATTATTATTATTATTATTGTTATTATTATTAATCTGTTATTTGGTGCCTGCCAGGAGGAGCAGGCCAACACTCATCTGATGAAGCTGAGGAAGGTGCAGCACGAGCTGGAGGAGGCTGAGGAGCGAGCCGACATCGCCGAGTCCCAGATCAATAAGATGAAAATCAAGAGTCGTGACCTGGGGAAGGTGAGTCAGTCAGCTCCTGGCAGCAGACGGTATCTCATTAATGCTGATAAACATTAATATTTCTCTCATTTACAGGCAAAAGACAGCGGAGAGTAGTCGTAGCCATGGAGACGATGAAGTGTCTCTGAAGCTGAGCTGGAATACGACACACTCTTTATTTCTTCATTTAAAGCCGTTATCTGTGTGGTTTTATGGGATCATTTAAATTATTTTAATGGGCTACACTGAATAAACAAGCCAAATATTATTTAATATAATCAGATTATCTTGTATTGAGCAAAAAGAGAATATAATTCTTTAAACTAGCATTAAAATCTGTCCACTGAAAGACTGTAAAGGGACTTAAAACTACACAAAATGCCAGAAAATGTGGTAAGTAAGTGTTTATTAGAAGCAATGAAAACTCTTTTTTAAGATTTTCTTAAAAAAGGTGTTTTGGTCACTTTATTGAGCTGAATTTAAGAATTTGTACCTTAATCACAAAATTAATAATGAGCAAGAAAATTCTTAATAAGACACAATTTCTTCAATCATAAAAATAGGTGATTTTCTCTTAAATTACGCTGTAAAACCTAAAATAAATATACAGTAATCAACTTTGCAGCTTTGCCAGCAAAGTGCTGTATTTATGGTTTCTACTGCATTTAAGTAACTTTACAACACAGTTCTGGGTCATAGTGTCATTAAATTATTGTATTAGTTTAGTTTAATTAGTGTAAACACGCACTGGTCCTTTGAATTAGAAAGTGTATGAAAGAAGCAAAGAACGAGACAAAGAACAGAAAAATAAACTTTTATTTTAATAGATATTTGAAAAGAAACTGCATAAATAATATTGTCCCTTTGTAATTTCCTCATTATTATTATTATTATTATTATTATTATTATTGGTACAGTAACATTATTTAAATACAGCATATACTCTAAATAATAATAAAATAAAGACTTTTTGTGTGCGTTTTTTTGGCCACCATAGTTTCTCCTACAAGCTCGGAAGTGGAGGGTGAAGCGAGGGAGTTGCAATCTGCTACTTCACCACTAGATGCCACTACATCCTACACACTGGCCCTTTAAATGTAATGTGTTAATACGACCTCTGGAGGGCATCAAAGCAGGGGTTTAAATTCTATATATATACATAGTGGCTTTAAATATGAAACAGTAATTATAACTGAGAGTTGTTTGCTTTGTTGCAGCTGATGTTTGTTGACTTAATATTTCAATAAAATAATAAAACAATAAAATCCCACTCTGTGATTTGTTGTATTAATGTAGAGAGATTTATATTATTGTTGTTATTGAGAAGCGGAGTTGTTTATATGAGTGAAATGTGATGAAGAAAACAGAACAAATGAGTTTTAATTTTATAAACATTTATTATTGCTCTGAAAACAGCAAACAATTTTTTAATTGTGCTTTAATATTTTATATTAGGTGAAGAGATACAGTGAACCTGGTTCTTAAGTTGCCCCTGAGGCTCCAGTATAATCCTTTATATTACAGATAATTACTTTCTATGTTCAAATCAATCAGCAGCTGTTCTTTAATTTATATTTATTCTCCAATTAAAATCACATTATTATTTTACCATTTATCTAAATTCTGTTATTTGGAAACATAAATATTGTAACTACAGTTTGTAATCTTCAAGTCGCCAATTTCAAATGTAATCAGTGGTTCCCAACTTTTTAATCAATCACTGAGTAAACTGACTGATCAGATTTTATTGATCCCTGAGAGGAAAAATAAAAACATTCACAGCAAAAAAACAAAGAAACCAAAACTCTTTTCATTGAGGCTGCAGCTGAAATAAAATAAATCGAACGAGAGAAATAAAAAGAGCTAAAAGACGTTTTTATATTATATTTAATGTGTTTTAATAACAGCAGAGAACAACTGATAAACTACAATGAACACAAACAGAGAACACAATAAAACGAGTGATTTGGATGAATTCTGAGCAGATTATTTCCTGTAAATATTAGTTTTATTATGATGCTCTGTATTTTTAACAGTCATACAGACTTAATAGGCTTCTTCTTTTGACACATTCAGAGTTTTATTCTCTTAAAAATAACTATTTTATTATAAATTCAGAGGTAGAAACGTGCTGGATGTATGTTTTTACACACCTTAAAATCAAGAAGGCTTCGTGACATGTTCTTGGGGACGGGTTGGGAACCATTGGTACTGGATTTATTATGTAATGGAATATTAATGAATGGATGATTTCTATTTTAAAATGTACTAATATGAGTTAACATGCTATGATATTAATAATATATGATAAACTATAATCTTTAATATATATATATATATATATATATAACTGGAGTCCAATGTTCAGCTACTCGCCCTGTCCTTCCTGTGCCTGCAAAACAAACACATTTAAGGAAAAAACACTGAATATTAATACAATATTTAACATTTTATATACAGAATATATGAAAAAAGCCCCAAACTTTGATCACAGAAGCCAAAAGCATTATAATAATTACCGAAAAAGCACTTTTTTTTACACAGTTGAAGCTTTTTTTAAACTATTTATGGAATAAAAGCAGATCATTTACCATTTGATTATTTGTTTTTGACTTATAAACTGAGATCGAATCATACAGAAAATAAGAAAGCGTTGAGTTTAGGTACCAACTTAAATATCCGTTATAAACAGCATAAATTAAATTCAGTACCTTGGTCCCTATTTCGCGGCTCTTTGCTCTCATCTTGTTGGCGAGCGATTCGGCCACGTCAGCTCTCTCCTCGGCCTCCTCGAGCTCGTGCTGAGCCTTCCTGAACCTGGCCATGTGCGCGTTAGACTGCTCCTCCTGCAAATGAATCCTTCGTTCATTAATTACAGACGCATTCACTCGTTCACTCAGAGTATTTCTGCTGGTTGTGATTCGCTCACAGCTTCTTCAGCGTGCCGCTTGTAGGCCTTCATCTTGTTCTGGAGCTTGTCCACCAGGTCCTGCAGTCGCGTGTTGTTTTTCTTGTCTTCCTCAGACTGAAAGACGTAGAAACAAACTTCTGGATTATCTCTTTTATTATTTATAGTAACAATATGGGACTGAAATGTTTGTAGGTTCAGTTAAACGTATAATCTGTAACATTTCTGCATTCAAATCTCTATAAACGCTGGAGCTACGTTCTATATGTTGAGTTGTGTTCTTACATTATCTCAAATGTTTCCAACAATGTTCAAACTCAAAATCTGTAATTTTATTTCCTATTTACCTAATCTTGCTCTAACTTCTAGGTAAAAGCGGCACAATAAAACTTTAATTTACCTCATCAGCAGAATATATATAGAAGAACATATACATATAATTCTTTAAGCTACAGCTGTTGCAGTGTTACCTGATAGCTGAGCTCTTTGACTTTCCTCTCGTATTTACGGACTCCTTTTATGGCCTCTGAAGAACGTTTCTGCTCAGCTTCCAGCTCATTTTCCAACTCACGGACCTGAAGAGCACAATTCAGATTATTCTAAACATGTTAACGTTAAAGAGCCTCGAGGATTTTTATTAGGACTTTTGAGTTGATTAATGGACTAGTTGCATAGGTGCCAGATCCCAGATCACCTTCAATGGATGCACATGTGTAATCTGTACTACATGTACTTTAATAGCTACTTTTATTTGTTACATCTAATAGTTTTTGGATCCGATCCACTACTTTCACAATGTGGCTACTTTAAGTTTGACTCACAAACCCTGAAAATAATTCAAGTCAGTTGTTGAGAAACATATTTCTAAAATGTTTTGCAACAGTTTTCTCACCAACTCTTGTACAAATTTTAGTTAATGCCTGCTATATATTGTTTACTTGTGTATTTTGTCCTTAAAAAGGAAAGAAAACTGTATGTTTCTCCACTTCAAATCTCCTCTGATTTGCCTCAGATAGACTGACTTCTGGTCTGGTGCCACAATGTGGATCTAACGTGAAATCCGACCCTGCACGCAGTATTTTATTTTGAAAATTTACTGGAATCTTTGTGCTGTTTCTGTGTCAGACTTCCTGCCAGTGCGATCTGCTTTGTGCTGCTTGAAGTAAGCGGGTCGCAGCTTCCATCAAAAATAGATTGCATCACGATAAAACATTAGTTGTAAGTCTCTTTATGTTCCCTAAAAGGATCCAGCTATTCTCCATCAGCCATCGTCACTGTTGTCTAACATCCTCACATCATCTATATACTCTGATGGCGATATCTGTACGTACCCTCGCCTCCAGTTTCTGAAGCTGCTTCTTCCCGCCCTTCATGGCCAAGTTTTCAGCCTCATCTAAGCGGAGCTGCAGGTCTTTCACCGTCACCTCCAGGTTCTTCTTCATCCTCTCCAGGTGAGCGCTGGTGTCCTGCTCCTTCCTCAGCTCTTCAGCCATCATGGCGGCCTACAGGTGCCACAACAGGAGTTTTAATTTTCCATCAAGTCTGCGTTAAATAAAACAAAAAAGCCCTGTGAGAGCAGCTTACATCAGTGATGGCTTTCTTGGCCTTCTCCTCAGCGTTCCTGGCCTCCTGAACCGCTTCCTCTATCTCAGAGTGAAGGTGAGTCACATCGGCCTCAAGCTTCTTTTTAGTGTTTATGAGACTGGTGTTCTGCCAGATAAACATAAAAGAGATGTGACTTTTAAATCCTGCAAATCAGAAAGGGTTGGTTCTGTGAGTGGATGCTTGTTGACAACCCTACCTGAGAGTGCAGAAGACCTGCGCGCTCACTCGTATCAACCAGTTCCTGCTCGGATATTTTACGGCTCCGCTCCGTCTGCTCAACGACGGCTCGGAGCTCTTCAACTTCAGCCTGCATCAAGGCTGTTCTGCGCTCCATCATGGCTACCTGCTCCTTCATGTCATCCTGCCCCCTCATAGAGTCATCCAGGTGGATCTGAGCGTCCTGAAAAGGCATTGATCCATCAATCTTTCTTAATATCTTTACAGCTATTGGCCGGATTGGAATTAAATGAATTAATTAAGCACAAATATAACACTTGTCCATCAATGATAAGCACTTAAAATACTTCAGTAAACTTTCCTTTGGCACAATCATGAGGCCAATGTTTCTACTGGTGTTCACATTCGTGTTCCCCAGAGGATGACCCCATTTCCAAGCTCTCCTGCCCTTTTTAAAAGTCCACTGAAAACCTACTTATTCAGGCAGACTTTTAGTTAATGTACTATGGTTTTTAATTATCCTATCTTTGAGATGTATGTGTATATATTCTACCGAATGTGTTTGTTTTGATGTCACACTGTAAAGCACTTTGAGCTGCATTTCAAGTTATTATTAGTCAGTTGGTTTGGTTCAGCGTGAAGACTCTCGAAGGACTGATATGACCGTGTCAATATGCTAGTTATTGGCAGCCTTTCTAGCTTGTTTAGGAGAAGGTACAGTAACAGCGGCGCTACTTCGGCTACCCCTGTGACCCTCGCCTCGCAGGTCGTAGGGGTCTATTAAGAGTCTCTGGGCTACACAAGTAATAACGAGATAATGTTGTTATCCTAAAACAGAAGATAACATCAGCACAAGTAGCTAAATCTTAGTTAAAATTAGCCTTCACAAGCTACATATTTAACAATAAAGGCTGCAGCAGCACATCCCCTGAGTGTATTTAATTTAACTTTTTTGCTCATGAATTAAACGTTTTATCTGCAACAGGAAGAATGTGTTATTTCTCCTTTAAAAAGTGACATATCCTCACTTTAACACATTACTCTATGCTGTTGTACCTTCAGTTGCCCCTGAATGTTCCTCAGCTGTTTCTGCGCCTCGGCCGCCTGCCTGTTAGCGTGGCTCAGCTGGATCTCCATCTCGTTCAGGTCTCCCTCCATCTTCTTCTTCACTCTCAGGGCGTCGTTCCTGCTCCGGACCTCAGCGTCCAGGGTGGCCTGCATGGACTCCATCACCCTCTGGTTGTTCCTCTTCAGCTGGTCGATCTCCTCGTCTTTCTCCGCCATTTTTCTGTCAACTTCAGCTTTCATCTGGTTCAGCTCCATCTGCGCACGCAGGATCTTAGACTCTTCCTGTTCCAGGGTGGCCTTTTGAAAATATTTTCTGGTTACTTACACCAATGCAAAGACATATCTGAAGGCTGTGTTTCTTCATCATTTTTACCTCAGCTTCTTCCAGTGAAGTTTGCATGTCGTATTTTTCTGTCTCCACCTGCTTCTTGAATTTCTCCAGCTCATGAATCGTCTTCCCGCTCTCCCCAAGTTGTTCCGTCAGGTCTGAGATCTCCTCTGCAGTGACAGAGAGGTTTTGAAATCACAGATTTCGTCCATAAACTTTGTTTAGCACGATAAGGTTTTAACTTACGTTGCAGGTTTTTATTTTCCCTTTTCATCGTCTCCAGATGATCCAGAGCTTCTTCATAGGAGTTCTTCAGTTTGAAGAGCTCAGTGCTCAGAGATCGAGATTCTTTCTGAGCGCTTTCAAGCTCCGCCTGAGACTCCTCGTACTTCTGCTTCCACTCAGCTAGAATCTGAATACAGTGAAACATTAGATAGTAATAACTAAAGAAACAACAATCCGGTGTTAAGCATAAGACAATACCTTATCGAAGTTCCTCTGCTTCTTGTCGAGGGTTGCAGCTAAGCAGTTGGACCTTTCCACATCGACCATGAGATCCTCCATCTCATTTTGAAGTCGCTGTTTAGTTTTCTCCAACGAGGCGCACTTTGAATTCACTGCTTCGATCTGTTCTTCGGCCTCTTGGAGACGCTGGGCGAGCTTTTTCCTGTCGAAAGTGAAACCAATATTATTA